CCCCCCAAATATAAAGACCCAATTCAAAAATGGGCATCCAAAATGAACAGACATTTCTCAGACAAAGAAGTCAAAGCAGCAAGTAAATATATGAAAAAATGTTCCACATCACTGATCATTCGAGAGATGCAGATGAAAACAACACTGAGATTCCACCTCACCCCACAAAGAATGGCTGCTAACAAGAAATCACACAACAGCAAATGCTGGCGGGGTTGTAAGGAGAAAGGAACCCTTCTCCATTGTTGGTGGGAGTGCAGACTGGTGTAACCACTATGGAAATCAATATGGAGATACCTCAAAGAGCTTGAACTGGAGGTTCCATTTGACGCAGCCATCCCTCTGCTGGGTATCTTTCCAAGAGAACTAAAAGAATCATATCACAGAGAAGAATGCTCACCCATGTTTATAGGGGCACAGTTTGTAATAGCTAAATCTTGGAAACAGCCCATTTGCCCATCCGTTGGAAACTGGATAAAGAAGATGTGGTTTTTCTATAAAATGGAATATTACTCAGCCATAAAGAACAAGAAAATAGATTCATTCATAGGAAAATGGATACATATTGAAGATATACTAAGTGAAATAAATGAGTCACACATGTGTAAATACAGAATAGTTTCCCTGTGAATAATCTGCAATAATACATAAGATCCTAATAAGATTACTGACATTTAGAAATAGGAAGGAGCTAAAGGTGTAGGGAAGGTGGGATGGGAAGGGGAAGGGTAATAAGGGAAAAGAAAAAAATGTGAGATAATGAAAAGATGAAAATAAAGTGTTTGTAGATGGGGAGGGGAGGAGGGGGCGAAGGGAGGGCAGAGGTAAGGGGAAACAATGAGAATCAAGACTTGTCATGTAGAGGTACAAGATCCCAACAATGAATGTAACTGTACTGTATCCCTAAAATGTACCAATAAACTCAATTAAAGCTGAAAAAAAAAAAATAAATAAACTCCCTTGTTTAAGCCAATAGAGCAACTCTCGGCTGTTTCAGCAGCTGAGAGGACAGGACCTAGCATAGCTTTAAGCTTTGTAGCCAACTAACCTGGAAATTCATACGCCTCCTACTTAAAATGTCTTTCAGATCAGCCCCTGCTGATAGCGCAGCGTCCAAGCACTAAACAGGTGAGGCACTTCTGCTGTCCCATCTACATCTCAGACTCATCTCTCTTCACATCCTCATGTGGAAACCTACTTAGGGTTTCTGAAGTTTGTAGGTTTCCGCGTATTTGGACATTTTATCATTTCTACTGAAAACAATGATCCTTGTAAAATGTGGCTCCAAAGCCAGGCACCATAGGAAAACTTGCTACAAGTACAAATTCTCAGGTCCAGCCAGACTTGAAAGCCAGAACCCTGGGAGCCGGGCCCAGCAAGCTGTGTAACAGGAACTCCAGGTGATCCTCATGTATGGAAGACCTTTAAGAACCACATGCTTGAAGCAACCTGCCCCTCTTCCACTGTTAATTCCTACTCACCTGCATGCAATTCTCCACCAATTCCTCCTTTTGGACCCTTCCAACATCCTCACCTAAGCACCCCCAGATATAAACATGCAGGCTTGTTTCCAAAGCACCCAGACTTTCCTCTGCCAGAGACAACCACATTGTTCCATGAGCATACATACTTGTCTCCTCACAGACTAAATTTCTGAGGGCTGAGACCATATTATTCTATCTGTATTCTTGGTGCCAAGCATAGTACCTAGGTTTAAGACAACTAATAATATATTATTTAATGAATTAATGTTGCAAAAGTCCTCCTCTATGAAAGCCTATTTTAACTCAAAACATAGTCTAACAACAAAACTAATTATTCAAATACTGCTTATAATTTGTTTCACTTGTAAATTTGAGATTTATTATGCAAGGAAAACAACTACCCTAGCAAGTCAATACTCTAGGTGAGTAGAAACTTTGTATCTGTATATTGAAGCTTCCAGGACAGTGAACACCTGCATCTGCTGGGAGGCTGGAACACTGGAGAGTGCGAGAAAGGTCCGGTCCCTCTCCCACGCTTCCCTATGCATCTCTTCTATTTCACTGTTCCTCGGTTATTTCCTTTTTTTTTTTTTTTTTTTTTTTTTTTTTTTTTCTTTTTCGGTACCTGGGATGGAACTTAGGTCCTTGGGCTTGCAAGGCAGGCAGCAGAACCACTGAGCTAAATCCCCAGCCCCTTAAGTTTCTTTTGAGACAATCTCCCTATATAGTTCAGCCTGATCTTGAACTTACTATATAGTCCAAGCTGGCCTCAAACTCACAACAATCCTCCTGCCTCAGCCTCCTAAGTACTAGGATTATAGGCAGGTGCCTAGCCAATTGAGTCCTTTCTAAGAAACCAGAAGTGAAGTGGAGAGATGCAGACTACCCTATGACCCATGAGGATGACAGATGGTCACTGAGGTGGCAGAGCAAGCCACTGAACTGCTTAACTGTTTACCTCTAGACTTCTTTTCACACGAGAAAAATTAACTCGTTATTATCTTTGTGATTTGCCTGTTGAAGCAAAGAGCAATTTTAATAATAGTTACTTTTAATTTCAGGATGCACAGGGAAAGAAATTAAGAGAAGTGCCCAATTGAAAATATCCACTATCATGTCAATAAAAGTGAGAAAGTGGGCCAGAGACAGGAGGATCGCCACGAGTTCACAGCCAGTGCCTACACTACGTAGTGAGTTTACACTTGATCTTAGCCAAAAGCCCGAGAAGCGATCTATGTAGTGAGTTTAAAGCCAGCCTGAACTGCACAGTGAAACCTTGTCTCCAAAAAACAAAAACAAAAAAAAGAAAGAAATGAGAACCAACCAGCATATGCAAACACACTGCTGTTACAGAACAGTATTCAAATCTTCCTTGTATCTTTTCCCTAAAATAGAAATAACAGCACTCTCCCAGTTGCTAATAAGCCCAAAGTCATCATTCACACTTAGCCATTAATCTCTTAAAAGAGAGAGAACAGTAGGAAAATTGAACGAGACCTTTCTTCAGGACAACAATCTTATCAGGGTCCACATGCTGGAGCACGCCTTCGAAGACACCAGAAGCCAGAGTGAGTCTCACTCTTTGCCACAAAATCTGATTGAGGAAATGGTAGTCACTGCTGGGATCCATGCTCTGATTCCAAAAGGAGTTTTCAAATGATCTTCTGTAAATATCCAAACACTCCAAAATTAATAAAAAGATCTAAGATTTGGGGAGTATGGTTACTGTCCCCTTCCCCGTATCTGTGTATCTGTAATAATAAAAACAAATAATTCAGTTTTATTCATCTTTTCAGAATGCTAATGAGAAAAGATCCCTTGCAAGCACCAACTCTTAATTCAAGCATGGGAATCTAAACACAGTAAAACTTTGGGCAAAATAATTTGTCCATAAAACAGGTTTAGTGTCCCGTCTAATTTGTCCATAAAATAGGCTTAGCATCCCGTCATTATGTAGCCAAATGTAACAGGCAGAACATTTAGAGGCTCTTCAATGGCACATATACACTTGGTTTTTTTTTAGACAGGATCTCAACATGTAGTATGTAGTCTGGGCTGGTCTTGAATTCTGTACTCCTCCTGCCTCAGCCTCCCAAGTGCTGAGATTACAGGTTTTCCTTTCCACACTCAGCCCAGGAACTTCATTTTCACTGACAAAAGAGTGAGAACCAATAAAGAAAACTGATGTCAGCAAAAATATGTGCCAACACATGCCGCAATAAATTGTTTACTCAGAAATGTCTGGGATGTGACCTCTTCTGGATCTAGCCTCTTTTGGATTAATAACATTTCCAGAGATTGATGCTTTTATTAACAAAAGCAGAAGTGATTTAGAACTGTACGTTTATGCATTACCAACCTGCCTACTATGTCACTGCAAGCACCATTCACATAACCCCGATCACAACTCTGGGTCCAGTCCTGTGTAGCCTAACAGATAACTACCATATACCATACACTCAGATATTCTTGAGAGGTGAGAATGAAATGTGATTATGATTTTTAAAAAATTATAAGAGGACAGGCACAGTGGTGCACACCTGTAATCCCAGCTACTCCAGAGACTGAAGCAGGGAGATCACAGGTTTGAGGCCAGCCTGGGCAACTTAGTAAGACCCTGTCTTTGAAAAAATAAAGAGGGTGTTGGAAGTGTAGCTCAGTGGTAGAATATCTGAATATTTGCCTAGCATTTATGAGGCCCTGGGTTCAATGCAACAAAAATTTTATCAATTAATAAGGGCTGGGCAGGCGTGGTGGCGCACGCCTGTAATCCCAGCACTAGGGAGGCTGAGGCAGGAGGACTGCTGTGAGTTCGAGACCAGCCTGGGCTACATAGTGAGTTCCAGGTCAGTCTCAATTACATAGTGAGACCCTATCTCAAAAAACCAAAAACCAAGACAAAGTAAGGGCTAGGGATAAGCATCCTTGCCCGGGGAAGATTACAATCACAGTGCAGAGCTTTACAAAGAAAAAACTCTACCTCACAGAAATAATTCTCATTTAAAGTAGGCACTGTTTTAAATTCTTTAGTGCTACTGTGGTTTAAAAGATTAATCCTTTCTTAAGTATTTTAGAGAACAATTTTGTTATTTGGATATCCTTGTATTTAGAGTCCTAGATAAATGTTTAACTTTGCTTTAAATTTAAAAGCTGCTTGTCTTTGTCACACTAGGAAAATTCAACCAGTGAATTTTGCAATTTAAGTAAAAGACGGTGATGAAATAACTAGAGACTAATTGTACTAGGAAGAGGGTAAGATGTTACGTAGTAACATTTTTATACTATGACCTTACGTATACTTTAAAGTCAAGTGCTTTCACAATTATTTGATACTTGCAACAACTGTAACAGAAGACTGAGGCTTAGAGATTTAAAACACCTGCCCAAAATCACCCGGCTAGAAGATAATGGAACCTGAACTATCAAAACAGGCCTCTCGTAGAGGATGTTTGTGGTCTAACGTTAAGACCAAGCATTGTACATCCAGGAGAACGAATCACTAGAGTCTGAGAAAACCACTTTGTTCAAGTTAATCCAATAGACAAAGGGGGGCTTTTTTTTTTTTTACAAAAACAACATAAAATAGGAAAAGCCCCTAAAAGATACAGCAGGTCAGTCTCAACTACATAGTGAGACCCTGTCTCACACCCCCAAACAACAACAAAAAAGATATACCTTAATAGAAACAAAATAGCAGGTGCAAGAATTGATTATTTGAAAAGGATGCCCAGGAAAGTTTCTGAAATACCCAGAAAATAGTGGCTCACTTGACAGGGTACATACTAATTTCAGGTGTTTTTTGTTTGTTTGTTTGAGACAGAGTCTCCCTATGCAGTTCAGGCTGGCCTCGAGCACACAGCAATTCTTCTGCCTTAGCCTCCCGAATGCCGGGATTACAGGTGTGCGCCTCTATGCCCGGCGGCTTTCAACTTTTTCAACAAGAATGTCATAGTATGTAATAAAATACAATTATCTGTCATTACAAAAACAAAAAACGACGGGGCGTTGTCTTTCGCTGGTAGTTCACAACCCTCCACCTGCAGGGTAACCCTCCCCCAGAAGTATGGGATCTGCGGACCTTAATTTCAGCCGACCGGTGAGTTTCGTGAACTGCAGTCAAGAACTAAAAGAGGAGGTGCGGCCCAGGAGGTAGTCTCGGGGCGCTCCCGGGCCCTCGGCGGCAGTTACCGAAGCCCGGTCCGGAGACGCCCAGACCACAGAGCGAGCACAGAGCCACCAGGCAGGGAGCCGCGTTCAGGAAACCAATCGGCGCGGGCCGAGACCGGCTCCCCAGCGTCCCCTGCGGCCGGGCGGAGAGAGGGCCTAGGGG